CTCCCATTGGTTCAGGTCCCGTCCCTATCCTTTTGTCTCTGTTTATTCTTTTTTCTTTTGCCCTACCCAGGTACGTGGGGGAGTTTCTTGCCTTTTGGGAGGTCTGAGGTCTTCTGCCAGCATTCAGTAGGTGTTCTGTAGGAGTTGTTCCACATGTAGATGTATTTCTGGTGTATCTGTGGGGAGGAAGGTGATCTCCGCCTCTTACTCTTCTGCCGTCTTCCCGATTCCCCCCCATAATTCTTTCAGTCACTTTTACAAGTTTTTTTTATTGTGGTAAAAAATACATAATGTAAAATTTATTATCTTAACCATTTCTCAGTGTATAGTTCAGTAATGCTACATTCACATTGTTGTACAACCAATTTCCAGAACTTTTTCGTCTTGCAAAACTGAAACTCTGTATCCATTAATCAACTCCCATTTTCATCTCCCGCAGCCCCTGGCAGCCACTGTTTCACTTTCTGTCTCTATGAATCTGACTGCTCTAGATACCTCATATATGTGGAATCATGCAGAATTTGTCCTTCTGTGACTGGCTTCTTCCACTAAACATAATGTTTTTAAGGTTTATCCATATTGTAGCATGTGTCAGAATTTCCTTTTTTTTTTAATTAATTTTTATTGGCATATAGTTGCTTTAGAATGTTGTTAGTTTCTGCTCTACAGCACAGTGAATCAGCTATACGTATACCTGTATCCCCTCTTTTTTGGGTTTCCTTCCCAGTTAGGGCACCACAGAGCATTGGGTAGAGTTCCTTGTGCTATACAATAGGTTCTCATTAGTTATCTATTAGAATTTCCTTCCTTTTTAAGGCTAATATCCCATTGTATGTATACACCACATTTTGTTTATTCATCTGTTGATGGACATTTGGGTTGCTTCCACCTCTTGGTTATCGTGAATGGCACCGCTATGAACATGGATGTGCAAATATCTTTTCTAGATCCTGTTTTCAGTTCTTTTGGATAAATACCCAGAAGTGGAATTGCTGGATCATATGGTAATTCTATTTTTAATTTTTTGAGGAACCACCCTGTTTCCACAGTGGCTGCACCATTTTATATCCCACCAGCATCACTCAAGCGTTCTAATTTCTCCACATTCTGTTCAGCGCTTGTTATTTTCTGGGAGATACATACACACACACACACACACACACACACACACACACGTCATTCTCACAGATGTGAGGTGATACCTCATTGTGGTTTTAATTGCATTTCCCTGATGATTAATGATGTTGAGCACCTTTTCATATGCTGTTGGTCATTTGTATGTCTTTTTAGGAGAAATGTCCATTTAAGTCCTTTGCCCATTTTTTAATTGGGTTTTTTAGTTGTTGAGTTGGAGTTCTATCTTTTCAGTTACTTTTTGATAGTAAAAAGTCCTCTAGGCACCTTTAGTAACAACTATGTCATGTTAGTAATTTATATGCTGCCTCCAGTGTCATAATCAAACTCCAAACAGTATTTCAAACTAAGTGTCTCCCTCCTAATTTGGCCTGCTTTGGGCTGAAATGCCTAAAGTGGGGGTGCAGGCATGGTCGACTTCTGCCCTTCCTCCTGGCCCAGAAACAGGCTCCATAGCTAGAGCAAAGGAAGGAAGAGAGGTGAGGCAGCAACGTTCACTGCTCTTGGGGGATGTTCAGTGCTGATTTTTCTGTGTGTTCCTCAGACCCCTCATGTGCCAGCCACCTGGGCTCTTTCTCCTCCTGCAATTCCCTTACTTCAGTGGTGCCTCCTCCAGGCAGCCCTGGGTCCCCGGTTCCCCTCTAGACTGCCCCTCTCTCCCCCATCCACATGGCTAGCACCTGAACCTCAAGCATCACTCAGTAACAGATGTCTTCCCAGCACAAACGCCTCTTCTCCAGGCCCCTGGCAGCCACCGTCCTCGCCTTTGGACTTTTCCTGGTGTAAATAGAACCTCAAGTCTGTGCCCCACAGACTCCGGGAGTTTATCTGAGTGGTCTCATTAGAGATCCTCTTGCTTGGCTTAGCCCCCTCTCCTCTGCTGGGGAGAGGACGTGGGAACACACCATGCTCCAACAATGTTTTTCAAAGAAATTCTCTACTCTGGCTGCTTCTGCCTCAGCTCTGATTTTCCTAGGACCTTGAGGTGGCTGTTTTGGTCACCTCGTTGGCTAGTCCTGAGTAGGTGATCAAGCACATCACTTCAGAACATGGGAGTAAGTGCCATTTATTATTTGTTACGACCTTTTGGGGCATCCCTGGCTGAAACTCAGGCATGAGTCCCATTTTAACATCCTGTTTTCTGTTTATTGATCCCCAACTACAATCCAGACCTGTTAGGCCCTTAACACATATTATGTGACAGCCTTTCAAAGAGTCTGGTCCATAACTCCAGGATGTACTATTCAAACTACAGATCTAAGATAAAAATCTGGCTAGAGATTTATCTTTTCAAATTATTTTAGTCAACTGTAAGTTTAGGCAATTATGCTTTAAAGATATTTCGACCCTTGTGATAAACCCAGTCAAAGTTGTTGGCAGGAAACTGGCCTGTTGCTTGAATGACCTTCCCAAGCAAGTTCAGGTGAGACTCTTTTACATAACTGCTTTAAATGGAAATCACTTAGATCTGGGGAATTTGGTTTTTAGCCATTTTTACACACAGGTGTTACACAGCCCTTGAGTAAAAAGGTGAAACTCATTTCGTTCCAATGTACGTAAATCTTCTCAGTTAAGTAGAATGCTCGAAGTGGTAAATATTTTTTGATTTTCTGGTTAACTAATCAAAAACTCCTTTCAGGTTTAGTTTAAAAAAAAAAATACTTCTGAAATGTGTCGGTTTTCTTTCCTATGTTAGATCATAACTGAATCCTTATTTGGTTAGGAATATTAAAATTCGCAAGGCTCATTATATGAATTCTTTGCACAGCATTATAGATCTAAAAGCTGTAGAAAATTAAGGATCTGCCTGAATTTCTGTGCTTGAATTCCCAATTCGAACTTATTTTGGTTCTTTCTCCTCAATATGAAGTTCACTTAACTGAAAGCCCTGTGTGGTAAGGTCTGGATCAAAGTGTAGACTTCTGTTTGGTTTCAAAGAACAGGACTAGAATGGGCCCTTTCCCTTGGAGATAGTAAAGGATTCAATGCCAACGCCAGAATGGTTATCTCTAAAAGCACATAATTTTTACTTGGGGAGTAGAAGGGGAGTGGGGATCATTGTCTCACAGACATAAATAACAAGAACACTCATTTTGTAGAGCGGTTACTACATGCCAAGCACTATTCTAAATGTTTTCATACCGAGGACCTCTTTTAATCTTCACATCAGCCTGATGCATGTGCCATTCTCATCTCCGTTTTATGGATTAGAAAATGAAAGCTTGGAGAGGTTAAGTAGCTTTTCTAAGGTCACATAAGGTCAAACCCAGGTCTGCTCAATTCCAGAGCCCAGTTACTACTCAGTGTTGGACCCCATCTACCTGGGAAGTTTGTTGCCCCCAGTTGCATAGGCAAGACAGTCCACCACAAGAAAAGCACAGACTGGAAGTCAGAAGTCCTAGGCTCAGGCTTCAGCCCATGCACTAAGTGCTGGGTGACCGTGGTCACTGCAGTTGATGGTTATGGACCCAAGTACTCACATCTATCAAATGAGGGCACTGGGGACTTCCCTGGCGGTCCAGTGGTTAAGACTCCGCGCTTCCACTGCGGGGGGCACGGGTTCTATCCCTGGTCGTGGAAGTTCCACACGCCACCCAGTGTGCCAGTAAATAAATAAATAAATAAAAATTTAAAGCAAAAATGAGGGCATTGGACCAAAATCGCAGCTTCCCACTGTGTTCCTCAGAGTCCTGGTGCCCTCAGCAGCCCCACTAGGCTGCAGTGTCCCCTTTTCCTCTTTCATACGTTGGGATTCCACTTGTTTGGATGGAGGGGGTTGGGTGGGGACATGGAGAAGGTTCCATTGAAAAAAAATGTGAAAAAGCAATAAATAAAAGCAGGACAATGAGTCAAATAACTACCTGGGTCCTCTGTAGGCCTGAGGTTTTTTGACACTTGAGACTACTTTTTCTTCCATTTTGAGGGGAGACACATGCTCCTGTTTTTTTTCCACTGATTGAACACATTAGTTTCCCACCCAGTGGAGTCACTCAGGTATTGGCACCGTGTTTGTGTTAGAAAGGGATAGTTGACTATTTCTTGGCCTGATGACTGTCACAAGCTTTAGGGGATGAGGGACTGAGACTAGTGAGTAGTTAGTTTCAATGCACATCTGATTTTTTACTGACTCTGTTGGGGAGATGTGGGGGGTGGATGCCCACACTTCCAAACAATTCTCTGACACCAGCTGGTGTCCATTCAACTCACTTCTCTCAGTCCTGACTTTCTACCTGGAGACAACATCAGATTGCACAAGTTACAGGCTCAGTCCTACCAGACTGCCCCCATCTAATTAGATGCCAATTGCAAATTTATGTTGCTCAATTAATTTGCTAGAGGGGCTCAGGGAACCACTTTACTTACTAGTTTATATATATATATATGTTTATATATAAAGAATAGAACTCAGGAACAGCCAGATGGAAGAGATGAATGGGGAAAGGGGCACAGAGCTTCCATGCTTTTGGAGCTAGTCACTCTCCCAGCACCTCCATGTGTTCCCAACTCAGAAGCTCTCCTTACGAGTCCTTTTGGCTTTTTATGGAGGCTTCATCACATAGTCGTGATCAATTAAATCATTGGCCATGGGTGATTGAACTCAGCCTCCAACCCTTCACCCCTCCCCGAGAGCTTGGGGGTGGGACTAAAAGTTCTAACCCTCTAATCACATGATTGGTTCTATTGGCAACCAACCTCCATCTTTAGGTGCTTTCCAAAAGTTACCTCATTAGCAGAACAGAAGACACCTTTATGCTCTCATCACTTAGGAAACCGCAAGGGTTTTAGTTCTGTGCTGGAAACAGGGACAAAGACCAAATATGTATTTCTTACTGTACATCACAATATCATAGTCATTTTTCCCACAGAAAAGCCGACGCTTCAGAGCAGACACTCTTTAGACGGCTCCAAACTTGCGGAAAAAGTTGAAACCGCGCAGCCACTGTGGATAACGTTGGCACTGCAAAAGCAGAAGGGGTTTCGGGAGCAGCAAGCGACTCGAGAGGAGAGGAAGCAAGCCAGGGAGGCCAAGCAGGCCGAAAAGCTCTCCAAAGAAAACGTAAGTAGCTTAGCCTTCAGCTTTAACTTTGTTTTCCTGAGCTTGGCTCTCTCTTTTTTTGGCTGCACTGAGCAGCTTGTGGGATCTTAGTTCCCCAACCATGGACTGAACCTGGGCCCCGGCAGTGAAAGGGCCGAGTCCTAACCACTGGACCGCCAGGGAGTTCCTGGGCTTGGCTCTTTTAGTTCACAGGATTTAAGACAACAATAACAAAACAAGGCTAGCTGAGAGTGGTGGAGAATACTTAGACAGTAGAGCAATAAATAAGCTGACCACTGTTAGGACAAGGAGGCGTTTTAGGTTAGAAATTTGGTTTCCTTATGCTCTTCGGTTAGCCTGATTTGGCAGAATCCGCTCACACAGGTTATATGAGAAATACAAGAAGCATTTTATTTGAGCAGTGAGTCGAGAGGAAATTAGGAATCTTGCTCTGTGGCCCTAACGGTATAGTTAAGTTGAAGGGCTCTTCTGGGAAAGTATGTAGCGTCCCCTCTTCGGGACATGTGCACTGAGCGGCTCCGTGGTTGAGCACACACTGCTCCCCCTTGCAGTCTGGCCCCTCCTCTGGGACCAGAGAACGGGGGCTGGCCAATGGAAGCCTCCAAGGCCTTGCCTTGCATGGTCAGTCTCCCCCTGACTTTCTCTCTCCATCCAGGTCAGTGTCAGCCCGCAGCCTGGAAGCAGCAGTGTCAGCAGAGCTGGTTCCCTGCACAAGTCCACCGCTCAGCCAGAAGAGAAGAAGCCAGAGACAGCAGCGTCCAGGCTCGAGCGCCGAGAACAGCTGAAAAAGGCCAACACTCTTCCTACATCTGTGACAGGTAGAGAACAGGTCCATTTCTACTTAACCGTACTTAAAAGTTTTTCTTCTTAGGGTGTGTTTTATTTCCTCTAGCGTCATAACTAGCACAGCATTTTAGGCATTTCAGAGCACAAGCTGTCTCACAACCCCATTCATCAACTCTGACACTGATAAAGCTCGTCTGATAAAGATCATCAGAAACTCACCCACTATCAGTGGTGTGATGATAAACTTTTAACAATCAGTTCTTCAGGGAGTGGAGAGACCTGATTTGTAGTATTTGCTGTGGTGTAAATACTCCCAACCATGGCTAATTTCAAGCTACTAATGTGATATCAAGTGACTCGTTATATTCCTGAACCTTTAACAAGGTGATATGAGCCCTCTCCAACTCCACTGCCTGTAGTCCAACAAAATTAGGTTTATTAACTTCCTGCAGCAAGGAAGACTGCACACCATAAGAACCTTCTAAACAAAACAAGAGATAAGATTATATTAGGATTCAGGGGAAAGGGTGAATTTTAGGTAAAATTTAAATGAAGCAGTGACTCAAAGCAAAGTAGTTGATATCAAGCCTGAGCCGAAAAGTGGACTCAGGAGCCTGTTTCCTTTGACACCACAAACTTAAGGTAAATGTGAGGAAGCTGTATTGGAAAACCCCTACCTGGAGCTGTGCTCCAGTCGGAAATGGAAATTGTTTCTCTGAATCATGGTCATCCAAGTGGCTCAGATGCTCCAGGCAAAAGTGGGGTGGTCCCTGGTCCCTTCTCACTGATGTGATTTCAGACAGCAAATTTCTGACCCAGGTGTGACTTTACAGAGCAAAGTTGTTGTGCTCTGAGTCCTTGATGTTAATTAACAACAGCAGTGTTTATATGTTCATGACACATAGAAGACACATGCACATTAAAAAAAAACCTCTTTATTCTGTTAAAAGATAAAATGATCCAATAATGTTTGTAACTATTTCTGTGTCACATATCACTTGGAGGATGGAGGGTCTGAAAGAGCTTCCTCTCAGGGGTTATTAGGGCATCTGTTTTCCCACTAGGCAGCCCTGTTCCTCAGAGGACACCCAACTTCTGGACCCAAGATTTTTTTATGCCTTGGATACCTGCTAGCTGAGGTCTGGAAATGTAAAGAGGTCTCACTATTAAAGCCATATTTACTATTTGGTAAGGAGAAAAAAACTTTATATTTGAAAACCACTTTGGAGCATTTTCTCAAGAACCTCCAAGGGCATTATTTCGTTTGATCTTATACTCAGGAATTAAGGATTCTAAACATCATATTGGTGTGTGTCAAGAGAGAACTCTTGCAGAATAGTGAAAGCTCCAAAGTCAAAGAGATCAACCTCTGTCTGCCTGGTTTCTTAGAAGCACCAAAGGGTTGATGCAATTCAGAGCTGGCTCCACCACACAAAGCCTCACCACACAAAGGGACGCTCACCACACAAAGCCTCTAAGGTCTGATAAATAGTGATAGGATGCAAAGGAATTGTTAGAGGAGTCTGAGTGATAAGAGCTGGCAGGATCCATGGGCCTCAGAGGGAGGAGGGACCCAGGGCATGCTTGGTAGAGGAGGTAGCTTTTAACCTCACCAGCTAACAGGTTCAAACTTCAAACTACTTGGTTTAAGCTTTTTCTTCATGAAATTGACTGGTTGTATGCCTAGAATCACAGAATTTACCTCTTATTATTACACAGGCATAGCTTCTGTGCACAGAGAAAATTAGGTTTCTAGAAATTCTCTGAAATTAGAATCGACTGCACTGTGATCACCGTAATTCCGTATGTAACAGTTATGATCACGTAGCTTTCTTTCTCTAATTCTTCTCGCCAAAGATACCCAGTGTTTCACTGGGTTTTCCTTTCTGAATCTCATACTTCTGCTAAATCAAAATGTGGCTCTGACTTATTCCTTTCTCCTTTTCCTTCAAAATGCAATCTAGTGGAGATCTCTGATTCGGCTCCCCCAGCACCACTGGTGAAAGAAGTCACAAAGAGATTCTCTACCCCAGACGCTGCCCCCGTGTCAACAGAACCAGCCTGGCTGGCTTTGGCCAAAAGGAAAGCCAAGGCCTGGAGCGACTGTCCACAGATTATTAAGTAAAGAGTGACTCTTATCCATTCCTACTGCCAGTTATTGGCTCTTCTCTTGCCCTTTTTATTTATTTATTTTTTATATGAGGTAAAGAAAGAAACGAAGCTAGGGAAAAGCAGCATGTTTTATAGGCTCTAAAATAATGTTCAGAAACTGAACTGGTGGTGTTCCTTGTAAAGAGTGTATTTGCACAGCCCTAGGTCCTGGTGCCTTGAGGTCCTCCTAATTCTAAAGAGAAAATTCCGTCCTAGGGACCACATGAAGCAAAATCTCCAGACTGAGAACTTCTCACGAGCGCCTGCCACACCCATTCCATGGCCCTTCCACACACGTACACCCACACACCGCTCAGAACATGTACTTTTGCCAATCTTTGTAATAGTTTTCTTGATTCTGTACTCCTGTTTCTTTGTTCCAAACCATTTACCATGTGCTTGGGGATTTCTACCCTTTTCTATAGTAATAGTGAAAGGATCTTATATAAACAAGAGTGCCCATTCGCCTGAATGCAGTGAGTAACTGGGAATTGCAAGTAAAAGTCTGGCTCCCAACTCTTTGCCCATGTCTGCTTCTCATGATTTTGCCCCAACAGGAAACTGTAACACAGACAGCGAGTCCATTGACTCTTCTACCGCACTGTTGGGCTACAGGCCCTGTTATACCACAGCTCTCCTCAAGGACACGTTAACCATTTGGCCCAGCTGGCTCCTAGGGAACATTTTTATTTAAAATGATTAAAAAAAAAAAAAAAAGAAGCAGCAGCAGCAGCTACAAATTCTCTGTCTCTGAGAATCCCCGTCTAGTGCAGTTGTTCTTAAGAAGTTCAGGCTCCCTCCCAGACCTACTCAATCATCAGAGATCCTGTGAGGATGGGGCCAGATGTGTATATTCTGGTAAAAACTCTTCAGATGAGTTCTGGTATATCACAGAGGTTGAGAAGTGTGGGACACACTGCTTCTAGTGTAATCTAGTTTTTAAAACTCTGAAGGGGAGGCTCATTTCACCCAAAGCAGCAAAAGTGAGATAGGAAAAATAATAAAACAACCCCCCCAAACCAGCCATTTATTACAGGGTATAAGAGTCTATTGACATTACATATCTCTGAAAATCTTTTAAATCTTTAGGGAAAGTTAACAGTAAGACAAGATTTGAAGTCTCTGTACTAAAGGACTTCCTGTGGGAAGTTTCTTTCTTTACCATAATCAAGTAATTCATATTTAGAGTCAAATGTTCAACAGCATTTATAATGTAGAGCATTCACCTTGCTACCTTTAAAAACATCTCAGAGTTTTAAGTGGCCTTGTTGTTATACACGTGATAAAAAAAGGACTTGGCAATTTAAAAGCCACATATATTCACTTTTATTTCCCTAAATTTGCTTTACATGACACACAGAAATACAGCAAACCCACACATTGCTGGTACTAACCTACATTTCGTGGTGTTGGCATATTACCTTTTTCTTCAATCCTGACTTCAAAATCTAAGTACAAATCCTTTGCCTAGTACAGCAGGGGAAGGAATTACATCCTTTTCTCCTCTCCTACAAAAACACATTAGTATTTTATTAGTATCATTTTCCTCTATGCTTACTCAGTAGACAGTGTGCTGTTACACTATTATGTACCTTAAAGAAAGGATGACAGTGAAGTTATTTACCATATACAAGGCATTTTCTTTCTGGAAACGATGGCTCAGCCTCATGGTAGCAGCTGGCATGTGTGGTGAAGTGGATAGTTGTACTTTTGCAAGTTGGAGTTAATATTATATATAGTGGACCTTCAGACTGTTAAGAACCAATGGAACGTTAATTTTTTTATGGCTATGAGAAGCAATTAATATTCCACTGCATGTTTTCCACAGTGATGTTCATTTCTAAATCAAATATGTAGACATTTGTTAGTTTCAATGATTTCCTCACTAATATAACACTTCTTAATAGGAATCTCTCCACCTAGAGCCCTGGAATTATACTGCTACATTAATTCTTCTGCATTGTCTTTTTCTGTCATCCTGTCAGCTTTGAATAATATCACAGTAATGGCAGAGAACAGGTGCATAAATCAGATCATTAACAAAGAATGGTAGACAAGTCAACTCTGTACTGGCTTACCTACCACTGATCCCATACAAAGGAGGAGAAATACCTCAGTTAAAAAATTTCCATCAAAATCTTTTTAAGAGTATACTGAGGAAAGTATACTGGAAGTAAGTCATAACACTTACTTCCAACAACTTCTAAAGGCTACATGTTTAATATTTCATGTAAAAATTACTCCTACTTTGCACTAAATACCAATGAAGTGTTATTTTGCTTTAGTTGTGTTGCAGTCTTTTCTGATCAACAAACTATGGGGGAAATTCTATAAAGCATATAAAAAATTCAAGACTTAAGAGAAATGAATGATTGCTAGTTAAATACACAAGCTTTTTTTTTTTTTAATTTAAACAAACATACACTTCTCCTGGCAAGGTTATAGATGATTAACCTCTGTTCATAAGACATATTACAAAACTAGAGGTTTTTTCTTTACTTTTTTAATTTTTCAAGTGCAATTGTTTCTTATACATTAATTACTATTAAATTATCATTTTAGCCAGTTATTAGCAAATTGTATGTATTCATTGCCTCTTCTTGTGATGTTTAGTTTTAATTGCTTATTTTAAAGCAGAAACATTAGAGTTACAATTGTCTTGCAATATTTTTATCAACAATAAAATGAAGTAGAGACTTAACAATAAAAATACCTTAGTGTGATTTTATTATTATTTTGAGATTTTGGTTGTATAAAGTTTTAATGTAAAATGACCATTATTGAAGGAAAAAGATCTTTCAATAAAAAATACCCACAAGATCTTCGGCACTGATGGAATTTCAAGCTGAAGTTTTTACTGATTTCAATGACCATCTATAGAAAGCTTGTATTTATACAAAGCTTTTGTTGAGAAAGAAAAATTTCAAGGCATTTTATATGGTACCTTATTATACTTTTAACTAGATGTTTTTGGAGAAAAATAATGAGTAGGGACAAATAAAATGTTTATCTCAATCCTAAACTGGAATTGAATGGTCTGGCATCTCAGACAAAATGATCCTACAACCTCTTTACTCAAAGCGTGGGCCACGGAACAACAGCATGGGCACAAGCCGAGAGCATGTGAGAAACGCAGCTTAGGGCCGCAGACCAGACCTACTGACTCACGAGGCCAGACAAGGGCAAAGTGAGTGACGTGAGCAAGGCACTTGCCTTGGGTGCCAAAAAACCAAGTAATCAAGAGGAATGCTATTTTAATGCAATATTTTAAAAATCAAGGTTAACGCAAATTCCATGATGAACAAATATCAAAATTTTAAATAAAGACAGGGTCAGTATTACTGATTTTTCCTTTTGCCTCAGTCTCCATTGTGGCTAAGCCAAGCCCCCCTCCTTCCAGCCCTCTCAATTGTAATGTGCATTTAGCAAGAGCTCCAGGTGGTTAATACATTAAAGATGAATCCACACGGGTCTAAAACCTAGCAGAAGATATGTTCTTTTGGGCCACCTATGGCCTCAATCCCCTTTCTGTGTTTGCGGAAATCTCTACCTTGTGGGTCTTGGTAGAGGGCAGCACTCACCTCCTACCACAGTTGAAATGCCTGTTAGGTGCCTTCCTATATACTCTCTCGTGGGCATAACAACATGTTTCACTTCAAATTGGAAGGGACTGTGGTTTGGGAGCAACTGACCAAAAGATGGGGGGACTGTGAGGAAGTCTGGCAGTGGTAGGAAACAGTGTCCAGCGTTAGTGGGGTCAGCCATAAGGTAATAAGCATTTAGCCTCAAGGACAGTAGCTGTCTTGTGGCCAAAATGATATGATTTCAGGCATTCATTGTTTCTGGCTGTATATAGCTCTAGCCCTCTTTGTAATTCTGCAAGAGACTCAATATTCTTTTAAAAGTTCATTCTGGAGGGACTGGCCAAGACAGTGGAATCGAAAGATGCTGAGCTCACCTTCTTTCATGGGCACACCAAAATCACAGCTATTTGCAGAATAACTTTTGATGAAAAAGACCAGAACCTTCCAGAAAAGATCTTCTACAACTAAAGACATAAAGAAGGAAACACAACAAGATGGGTAGAAGGGTAGGATTTGTGATATAGTCAAGTCCCATACCCCTGGAAGGAAGACCCAAATATAGGAGAATAACTACATTGCAGAGGTTCTCCCAAAGCACTATGAGGTCTGAGCCCCACATCGGGCTCCCCAGCCCAGGGGTCCCGCACCAGGAAGACAAGACTCCAGAGCATTTTGCTTTGAAGGCTAGTAAGGTTTACTTTCAGGAGTCCCAGAGGGCTGGGGGAAAGAAAGACTTCACTCTTAAAGGGCACACACAAAATCTCACATGCTCCAGGACCCAGGGCAAAAGCAGTCATTTGATAGAAGCCTGGGTTAGACCTACCTGCTGATCTTGGAGAGTCTTCTAAAGAGGCAGGAGGCAGCTGCAGCTCACCCTGGGGACATATCGACACTGGTGGCAGCCATTCTTGGGAGTTCCTTCTACCACATGGACATTGGTGTTGGCAAGGGCCATCGTCGAATCCTCCCTCTGATTTTTAGCCCCAAGACCCAGCCCTGCCCTGGCCGTGCTGTCCAGGCAGCCAGTTCTAGCCTCTGGACCAGCCTCAGCCACCAGGGGGCAGACACCAGATGCAAGAAAACCACAATCCCACAGGCGGCAGACCCATGCAGCCCATCAATAGGCCAGACCATGTCCTGGGACTATCTGGGCCTGGGTCCTGACCCTGGCCACTAGCAGGTCAACATAAGCTCTGGGACATCGCAAACCCCATACCCAACTGTGTCAGGAACAGCCCCTCCCCCTTCCCCCCAGCGATCTGACAACAGATCTGGGACCATTGGCCTTGCATCCAGACTCCAGGACCTGGCTCTGCCTACCAGTAGACCAGCACTAACCCCAGGACTTTGCTTCACCCACCATAGGATGGGCAACAGCCCTGGTGTTTTCTAGACCCTGACTCTACCCACCAGTGAGCCAGCACTAGCCCTGGGGCCCCTGGGGTTCTGCAGTCAGCCATCTTGTGACCTGGTCATGCCAACCAGTGGCCAGCAGCCTCTGCACAGGGCAGGGCTTAGCAACCAACCTGAACAGGGGCCAACCAAGCCTACCAGACGGCCCACATAGTTAGCTCACCACAACAGAAGGACCCACACAGCCCTCATAGCAGGAAACCACCAGAGCATATAGCTTGGGTGATAAGAGGGGAATGCACTGCTGGGACACATAAGATGTCGCCTAGAGGAGGCCACTTCTCCAAGGTCAGGAAACATAACCAACCTACCAGAAACATAAAAATGCAAACAGCAACTTAGGCAAAATGAGGCAACAGAGGAACATGTTCTAGATGAAGGAACAAGATAAAACCCCACAAGAAAAACTAAATGAAGTGGAGATAGGCAAATACCCAAAAAAGAGCTCAGGGCAGTGATTGTAAAGATGATCAGAGAACATGGGAAAAGAATGGATACACAGAGTGAAAATTAAAAGTTTTTAACAAAGAGCTAGAAAATATAAAGAATAACCAAACAGATGAAGAACATGATAACTGAAATTAAAAATACACTACAAGGATCAACAGTAGACTAAATGATACAGAGAAACAGATCAGTGAGCTGGAAGACAGAGTAGTGGAAATCATTGATGCTGAACAGAAAAAAGAAAGGAAAAGAAATGAGGACAGTGTAAGAGACCTCTGGGACAACACTGAGTGCACTAATATTCTCATTATAGGGGTCCCACAAGGAGAAGAGTGACAGAAAGTGACTGAGAACATATCTGAGACATAATAACTGAAAACTTCCCTAACCTGGGAAAGGGAACAGACATCCAAGTCCAGGAAGCACAGAGAGTCCCATACAAGATTAACCCAAAGAGGAATACACTAAAACATGCTGTAATTAAAATGTCAAAAATTAAAGACAGAGACAATATTAAAAGCAGCCAAGGAAAAACAACAAATAACATAGAAAGGAACTCCCATAAAGCTATCGGCTGACTTTTCATCAGAAACTCTGCAGGCCAGAAGGGCAACATATTTAAAGTGATAAAGGAAAAAACCCACAACCAGGAATACTCCCAGCAAGGCTCTCATTCAGATTTGATGGAAAGATCAAAATCTTTACAGACAAGCAAAAGCTAAAAGAGTTCAGCACCACCAAACTTACAAGAAATATTTAAGGAACTTCTCTTAACGAATAAGAAACGGCCACAACTAGATAAATGAAAATTATGAAATGAAAAAACTCGTTGGTAAAGGCAAACATACAGTAAAGGTAGGAAATCATCCATGCACAAAGCTAGCAGAGAGGTTAAAAGAGTAGTAAAATCATCTATATCTAAAATAAGCAGTTAAGGGTTACACAAAACAATCAGAGGTAAAATATGATACCAAAAATAATAATTGTGAGGGGAGGAGAATACAAATGCAGGATTGTTAAAATGTATTTGAAATTAAGAGATCAACAACATAAAACAATCATGTATAAATACAGATTACTATATAAATACCTCATGGTAACTACAAGCCAAAAATCTATAATAGATACACAAAAGAAGAGAAAAGGAATCCAAACGTAACACTAAAGATAGTCATCAAATCACAAGAGAACAAAAGAAGGAACAAAACAGCCCTACAAAAAAACCCTAAAATAATTAACAAAATGGCAATTAGAACATACATATAATTACTTTAAATGTAAATGGACTAAATGCTCCAATCAAAAGACATAGAGTGGCTGAATGGATTAAAAAAAAAAAAAGACCCATATATATCCCGCCTTCCTGCCTACAGGAGACTCACTTCAGATCTAAAGACATACACAGATTGAAAGTGAAGAGATGCAAAAGGTATTGAACACAAATGGAAATCAAAAGAAAGCCAGGGTAAGTAGCAATACTTATATATGATAAAATAGATGTTAGAATAAAGACTGTTGGAAGAGACAAAGAAGGACACTACATAATGATCAAAGGATCAATTCAAGAAGACATAACAACTGTAAATATATAAACACCAACATAGGAACACCAAAATACATAAAGCAAATACCAGCAGACATAAAGGGAGAGATCAATAGTAATACAATAATAGTAGGAAAGTTTTACACCCCAATTACATCAACAGACAGATCATCCAGACAGAAAATCAGTAAGGAAACACTGTGTCTTAAATGACACATTAGACCAGATAAGACTTAATAAATACATTTAGAACATTCCATCCAATAGCAGCAGAATACATTCTTTTCACGTACACATAGAACACTCTCCAGGATAAATCACATGCTAGGCCACAAAACAAGCCTCAGTAAATTTAAGAAAATTGAAATCATATCAAGCATCTTTTCCGACCACAACGCTAGAAGACCAGAAATCAACTACAAGAAAAAAATTGCAAAACCACAAACACGTGGAGGCTAAACAATATGCTACTAAAAAACCAATGGATCACTGAAGAAATCAAAGAGGAAATTTTTAAAAAATACCTGGAGACAAATGAAAATTAAAAACAATGATCCAAAATCTATGGGACACAGCAAAAGCAGTTCTAAGAGAGAAGTTTATGGCAATACAAGCTTATCTCAGGAAATGAGAAAAATCTCAAACAACCTAACCTTACATCTAAACTAGAAAAAGAACAAACAAAACCCAAAGTTAGTATAATGAAATAAATCATAAAGATCAGAGCAGAAATAAATGAAGGAGACTTAAAAAACAATAAAATGAAACTAAAAGCTGCTTCTTTGAAAAGCTTAAAAAAAAAATAGATAAACCTTTAGCCAGACTCATCAATAAAAAAAAGAGAGAGGGCCCAAATCAATAAAATCAGAAATGGAAAAGAACAAGTTACAACTGACACCACAGAAATATTAAAGATCATAAGAGACTACTACAGGGACTTCCCTGGTGGTGCAGTGGTTAAGACTCCCTGCTCCCAGTGCAGGGGGCCTGGGTTCGATCCCTGGTCAGGGAACTAGATCCCACAAGCATGCCACAACTAAGAGTTCGCATGCTACAACTAAGGAGCCCGTGAGCCACAACTAAGGAGCCCATGTGCCGCAACTAAGGAGCTGGTGAGCCGCAACTATGGAGGCTACGTGCCGCAACCAAGGAGCTCGCGAGCCACAACTAAAGGAGCCTGCCTGCCCCAACTACGACCTGGTGCAACCAAATAAATAAATAAATAAATTTTAAAAATAATAATAAAAAAATTTTAATTATGGAAACTAATTTGATAAATAGATCCTTTCTTTGAAAATCTTGTTATGAATCTCAGTATAAATGAGTGAATGGTGTATTACATCACAGACTAATTTTTTAACCCACCAAGTATATTCTGATCTTTTTTTCCAGAAGCCTTTTATAAAAAACCAAGTAGAACATCTGTAGCCTAATTAAAAGAAACTGTCACTTAACATATTGATGTGTTTTGTTCTATAATTCCTTTTAAAAGCATTTGTTGCTCCTATAGGAAGTAAAATACGGTTGTTTTCCAATAAAGTGTAATAGACAAGTTTCTTAAACAAAATATAATCTTTAACATAAAATAAGACTATCCACATGCTCCATAATGTAAAATATTTTCAAACATCTCACAGATATATTCTAGTAAAGACTGTCCTTCATTATCTTTGATTGCCACCCAATAAATCCAGACAATAAACATAATTATTTCTACATCCAATAATAAGCATTGATTCCCAGACCACAGGAGAAGAGAAAACTTCTCCAGGAAGTTGATACACACTTTGCAACTCTCCACTCTTAGATTCCAAGATCCATAGCTTCCCATCAGTAGATGCTGCTGCCAGCAACACTTCATTGCCACGATTGTGGTTATGGAAAGCAAATGGTGTTGAATACACCCTTGAAGTAGTTTCAAATTTCCACTGGAGGTGACCTTTCATACTACAACAGTAGATAAAGCAATCATGGGAACCAAAATATATTTCTTGCTCTGATGCTGAGGTACATGGGGATGAAAAGATTGGTTCATTGGTAGAGAACTGCCAAATCTGAAGGGTGATAAAGGCAAAAATAATTCATTCATCTCATTTCAACAATTCTATAAAGCTTTTTGAAATTCTTAATAAAATGTGAGAGACGCAGGCTACTGAATGGTAACTATACACAGAGAAAATAATGGCTTTCTCCCAAAAGTAGCACCCTCAGATTAGACCTCTGTCCCAATGGTAAAATCTAGCACAAAACCCACCAGTGAGTGTCCTTATTACATAAATCACCGCTATGCATAATATTATGAAGTAAAATTCATTTCGAACCCCATTCAAAAGTTATTACTTATATGTTCAGAGACACTTATTTCGAAGAAAAAACTACACAGTTTTCAGTGTATGTTATTAAAAATTGTATCTTATTCTGGTCTCCTAATGGAGGAATAAGGGGGTAAGTAGGCTGAAAGGAAAAGTTTATGTGCAATAATTTAAAGCTTTAAACAAAGAGCTATGAGTTGTGTGTCTACCCTGTAGATATATACACTGTTTGCTTATTTCAAAGCTACTATAGATTAACCTGTCAGCCATATTTTAAAGAAAACACACAAGGAAGAAAAAGCATAAGTCTAAGATAGTGTTTGCAAATCCATAGTAATAGCAGTAGAGTAAAAGCAAAATAAAAAGAGTGGGTATATTCATGAAATATGATTTGTAATCTCAATTCTGTCCCTGACTTGGACAAAATCACTTTAATCTTTCTTTGGTTCATTCAGAAAAGGTAAAAAAAAAAGGGGGGTAATAGCATTTGCTGCTTTTTAGAAATCCAAAGGTGAGAATATATTCAAATTACTTTGTAAATAAAAAATATTAAGTGAACTTAATAAAAGATTTCATCACAAAGTAATTGTCACACAGAACAAAAGAAACTGCTAGGCTATGAGGGGTGAATGTAGAATAAAAAGCACCCAAAGTCAACTGTAGCCAGCAATGGGCTAACTTACGTTGGAGCTAGTACACTCTCAAGTCCACAAAATAATCCCCAAAATCAAAAACACAGAAGTTGTGCCACAGTCACTTATGGGTAAAGAAGTAGAGATTATTATCCCAACGAAAGACCTATTATGACTCAGAAGGAGCCTACCCTGCCGATCATGAAGTTGAAGATGGAACTTCCACACAATGCAAATTGGGTTATGTAACAGATTTAGGTTTTCATCGAAAAAGCAGGAGTTTATTTCAATGTTCACAATCGGAATAGAGGTTATAATAAAGTTGGCTAAAAACTGATAACATGGGCTTCCCTGGTGGCGCAGTGGTTAAGAGTCCGCCTGCCAATGCAGGGGACACGGGTTCATGCCCCGGTCCGGGAAGATCCCACATGCCGCGGAGCGGCTGGGCCCGTGAGCCATGGCCGCAGGGCCTGCGCGTCTGGAGCCTGTGCTCCGCAACGGGAGAGGCCACAACAGTGAGAGGCCCGCGTACCGCAAAAAAAAAAAAAAAAAAACTGATGACATTTTTTAAATTGTGAGAGGAGAATGGCAAAAGTAAAACAATGTTTGGATAGAATCTTTTAAATCTATTATAGCGTCATTCAAAATTTTAAAAACCCGTGGTTTGACAATTAAAATAGAATTAGTTTTCAACACAATGGGTCAAATAATGTTTAAAATTTTACTTCAGTTGTCACCAGCTACTATGCCTTTGAGAAATGTAAATAAAACAGAACTAGAAATTTTTACCTGTTCTCCAAAGTGAGTAAAGCAGAGAAAATTCCCATCTACACAGCCAATACAAATATACTGTAGGCAACACCGTGGAGAAGAAAAGAGTGGCTTTCCACAGGAATGTTTCCAAACTCTCTTCCCAGTGGCCTGTCAAAAAGCAATTCACAGCATTTAAATAATTCTACTAATCAACTACCCTTTATAAAATAAACTCATAAATCTCCCAGAGGTAAAGCTATAAACACCAGAAAATGCTATAATGGCATGCTGACATTATAAATGAAGCTAGTACACATATACACAGCTATAAAATTAATGAGTGCTACTTATGAATGCTAAAAACTTGCAATAAAACCAGGAAAGAAATAACTAGCACATAAATTCCATCCTTAGAATGAACACGAAGTTCTTGACAGGACCGAGAACAGTCTGCCAACTTAAAAAATTGATAGGACTTCCCTGGTGGCACAGTGGTTAAGAATCCGCGTGCCAAAGGAGGGGACACGGGTTCGATCCCTGGTCCGGGAAGATCCCCACGCCATGGAGCAACTAAGCCCGCACGCCACAACTTCTGAAGCACACGCCTAGAGCCCACGCTCTGCAACTACTGAAGCCGGAGCACCTAGAGCCCGTGCTCCGCAACAAGCCACCGCAATAAGCCCACGCACCACAATGAAGAGTAGCCCCCGCTCTCTGCCACTAGAGAAAGCCCATGCACAGCAATGAAGACCCAACGTAGCCAAAAAAATAAAATAAAAATAAAAAATTGATAAAAGACATACACAGAACTTAGATTTTTCTCATCTTTCTATACTTTATGTCAGTCATTTTTAATGAATTCTGGTTCAGTAATGTATGGACTATATCTAACTGAGATCTACTTCAAATTTTCAGAATTCAAAGCAAAAATAAAAAATATTAAAGAAAAATAGGTAATAAAATCAATAAATATTCTTTTATGCCTACAGGATTTATAGCCAGTAAAAGTCCTCCCAGCGTAGCAAAATACAAGTGATATGGAATCAGGCTCAAACAAGGAGAAGAAAAAACAGTTCCTCCGCATTTCAACTTCCAAACACACTTCTTTTTCTGCAAATAAGAAAGCAAATTAAAAAAAAAAAAAAAAGAAAAAGAAAGCCAATTAATTGGTTTCTGCTGGTGATTAACAAAATATACATATCCTGTCCCTCCTGATGTTATGTCTATCTTAGTTAATATAACTTTTATTTTTAGTATAAAAATAATATATACTCACTGTGGAGAATCAAGTTAGTATAAAAAGATGACAAAAGCCAATACCCAGAGATTACCACTGTTAACATTTTAGCATTTTCCCTTGTGATCTTTTTGGTACACGCACACACACACAGCTTAATATACTTGAGATCATCACTCTGAATATCATACACTTTGTATCTAATTTAGCTCACTTATTTTGTAAAACTCTTTAAATATTACTTTAATGGATCATATCCCATATGAACACAAAATAATTTCTCTACCTTATCATTGAAAATTGTCTTGAACTAATTGCTTGGTGTTATAAACAATTTGGAAATAGACATCTTCGTGCATATATCTGTCCATGTTTCTGATTATTTTGCCAGGACAGATTCCTAGAAGAATTTTACTGAATCAACGGATATGAAATTGTTACCTATGGTCAAACTGTTTTCCTCGAAGGCTTTACCTCCCACCATTGTCACCAGCATTTAATGCTACACTCTAATAACATTTGCTTCTTTATCTCAAAGTTTTAAATTTTCATTCCTTTGATTCTTAAACATATGAAATATTTAAATACATTTACTAGCTATTTCTTCTTTGGGGTCCTGTGCATTTATATCCCTTGTTTATTTTTCTATCTGGACCTTTATATTTTTCTTATTTGTATTTGCTCTTAATTTATACTTATGACTATTTTAACTCTGTCACACTTGTTTCAAAAACTTTTCCCAACTTATTTCTTTTTAATTTTATAATTCTTAAATTAAAAAATTTTATGTAATCAGTTCTTATTGATATTTTTGTGATTCTTCTCTATTGTCAAGATGGCATTCTAAGTTCCTTATATTTCAAACCTCTGAGTAGTAAATTTATTTGTGAAAATTCGGTAAGGAAGTTAAAATTGTCTTAAGATATTATGGCTGTTAATTAACCCCTTAATCTTCCCAGATCACAAACTTGGGAACAGTTAATACCTGCTCCCCTAGTCACCACCACCTGATAGTTTCACACTCTTCTATCTATGCTTATGGTATGAAATTGATGAAGTGAATTCTTACATATATATCTAAAGCATATGCATGCTGGTCATGAGAGCCAATGTAAAAAAGTCCTGTGGTTGGATCCACAGTTGCTGAGCTTTTGACAGCATCATCAGTAGTAAACATCCAGTATTTTTCTCCACTATTACTCTTCAGAATATAAACCAACCCATTATAACAGCCTGTTGGGAAACAAAATACAAAAGATGAGATTTAGATATGTCACTGGAAAATAATTATTTGGCTTAAATCATGACAATATATATTCGATGTTCTTCATGTGTACTTAGGCTCTATGTTTGGCTCGATTTACATTTCAGCAAAGCAGCAACCATTTGTATAAAAAACCTATTTAGTAAGTACACCTTACATTTTAAAAGTACCATAAAGTGCTTCACCACCAGGAAAACAATGAACATGAGCATGCTGCAGCAGCAAGAGGCTTTGACAGACTTGGATTCAGATCTTGTCATGGCCATCCTTTGGGCAAATTACCTAGCATCACTGGGCCTAGATTATCTTTCTGCTGAATGTGGATACATCTACATCAGGGTTACTGTGATAATTAGGATAAATGCCCAGTACATAGTAGGTGTTCCAGAAATGCTAACATTAACAATGACCAAATGTTTATTGACCTTTTACCTTGTGAAGGGTACTACTCTAAGAATTTTATATCTGTTAACTCATGTAATGCTCACAGTGAAGTGCTACTATATGCATATATATATATATATATATATATATATATATATATATTATTTTGGCAGTGTTGGGTCTTCGTTGCTATGCACGGGCTTTCTCTAGTTGCGGGGAGCAGGGGCTACTCTTCGTTGCGGTGCACAGCCTTCTCACTGCAGTGGCTTCTCTTGTTGTGGAGCATGGGCTCTAGACGTGCGGGCTTCAGTAGTTGTGGCGCATGGGCTCTAGACGTGCGGGCTTCAGTAGTTGTGGCGCATGGGCTCTAGAGCACAGGCTCAGTAGTTGTGGTGCACGGGCTTAGTTGCTCCGCTGCATGTGGGATCTTCCCAGACCAGGGATCACACTTGTGTCCCCTGCACTGGCAGGCGGATTCTTAACCACTGCGCCACCAGGGAAGTCCCTGGAGCAGTGGACTCTTGATTGTGGTAGTGGTTACATGATAGTATGTATCTGTCAAAATATAAAACTGTATACTAAAAAGGGTTTTACTGTATATTATATTAATAACAAATATTTAAAGTACTAAGTGATAGTTAACAACACTGAACTGTATATTTGAGGTGATGTATGCTAACTAGATTTACTGTGGTAATCATTTTGCAATATACACATATCAAACATTATATTGTATACCTTAAGCTAATAAAATGTTGTATGGCAATTACATCTCAATAAAACTGGAAATTTTTTTAAAAAGAGAAAAAAAGTACTAAGTGACCACCACGTGCCAGAGGCTTTGGGTTTAGACACTTGGAATGCAAACAGTAACCTCAATGAGCTGACTTTCATGGATAGGGATTACTCATGATCATTCACATGTATAAATGAAAGTTTCCTGTAGTATAATTTTCAAAATGTAAGTTTTCAATACAGAAGAATCAAACTCAGATTCAAGTAGATTCTAGCCAGGCTAACATAAGTAGGGAGATATATTCCTAAGCACTTAGTCTGAACAGCTTTGGTAAGCAGATGCCATGAGCATTAAAGTAAAACTTGATGTAGTTTGGGGGGTAAAAAGAGAGTGGTAGTTGAGGAGACATTACGCCTAGACCCCCATATCTTTGTAAAGTAAAAGTCACCTACACCTTAATGAAACTGAGTAGAAGGTAGTAGCTAACACTTGTTGAAGGTCACAGAGCTGGTAGTAGCTTTAGAGCTAGGTTCAAATCCAGAAACTCTGACCTAAGGCCCACACTGTGAATCAGCATGTAGTTAACTATTATTCTTGGAGCACTTAGTCTGTCCCTAGCAATGTACTAAAGGATTCACAAGCAATTATTTCATTTAATCCTCTCAAAAGCTCTATGATTATTGTGGTAGTTTTAAAATATATCCACAAATTCTTTGATACTCAGAGATATTCAACAGGTGAAGCTAATTCCCCTCCCTCTGAGTGTGGGCCAGACTTAATGATGTTCTTCTAATAACAGACTAAGGCACAAATAATGGTATACAACTTTAGACACTAAAAGTACTGCGTTCCTCCTCAATCACTCTCTTGGGTCACTCACTCTGAGGGAAGTTAGCTTCCATGTTGTGAGGGCATTCAAGCAGCCTATGGAGAAGCCCATGTGGCAAGAAACTGAAGCTTCCTGCCAAAAACCAGCAAAAACTGAAGTCTTCTGTTTGCAGCAATGTGAGTAAGCCATCTTAGAAGCAGATTTTTCCAGCTCGTCAAGCCTTCAGATGGTTGCTGCCACATGAAAAACCCTGAGCCAGAACTTTCAGCTAAACCCCTCCTAAATTCCTGACCCATAGAAACTGTGAGATAATAAATGTTTATTAAAGCAACTATATCCCAATAACTAAATAAATAAATGTTTATTATTCTAAAGCATTAAGTCTGGCGATAATCTGTGATGCAGCACCATGTTTTATTTATTATGCCCATATACTCATAAGAAAACTGAAGTTCTAAGAAGTTCAGCAACTCGTTGAAGGTCACAGAGCTGGTAACAGCTTTAGAGTTAGCTTCAAATCCAGAAACTCTGACCCAAGGCCCACACTATGAATCAGCATGTAGTTAACTATTATTCTTTGACAGCAACCAAACCTACTATACATAGGTTTTTAAAATTTAACTTGGCCCTACTAGCATTACCATATGGTAATTAAATTTAACTCTATAAACCTCAAATTCAGAAACTTACCCACTACAATAAAGTTTCCACACTTAGATACACATGCTGAGGATTCAATGCGATCTCCCAAAATCTGTTCCCATTTCACCTTTCCAGAGTAAAGATCAACTGCCATCATTCTATGAGAATGGGAGCCAATGTACACAGTTGCAGATGACTTATCAACAGCTGGTATTACAAGCAGAGGTGAAGCATCCACACATTTGCCTGTGTCTGACCTCCACCTCACATGAAACTCCATTTTCTCAGCCCCCATCACAGATGTTTCCTCTTCAGAAACTTTTGCAACACAGGACATATCTTTTGACTTCCCAATAAGAGCTGGAGGATTTAAGCTTTTCATATTTTGAATGTTAGTCTGTGAAATTAAATCAGAAGAATAGGCTGAAGGGCAATGTTCCAACTTAGTTAAAAACCTAGTAGTATTCAGAGACAAAATCTGACTCCCTCGGCTTAGTGCAATAAAAGCATTGATCTCGTTGTCACAATTTAAAGGCATGACAGATTCCTGATGTAAAGATTTTCCACTGGTTTCCTCTTGATTAACATCGCTGGATTTTCTTTTTGTGGCATAATTCTTGCTAAATGTCAGATCTTCATCTGGAAACACTGTTTGAAGGATGTGATTATAAATCTCTAAAATAGAACTGCTAAGAATAATTTCCAGAAGCCCAGGTACTGATGTGCCAACAAGGTTTTCAATCTCATTGAGGAGCCGTATGGACTTCAAAGAATCTCCACCACTATTTAAGAAGAGTGACTCATCAGGAACCTTCAAAGGGTCTTCTGAGAGACTCAGAACAGACTACAGATTAGAGAAGTGAGAAATATGGTGAAGTTAAAGATCTAAAACCAAAAGAATTCAGCATTTAAAGGTAATATATAGATGATGGTAACTACATTAATGAGATGAACACAAAACACACACAAAATAAATTTTTTAACAATTAAAGTAAATTTTAAAATTATTTTCTATATAGTAAAGGAGACCATCATTATGCTACCAATTTTGTCACAAACTACCCTAGAACTGCAAATTATACTTCCCTTTAGAGCAGTTTTTCTACCCATACAATAGGGAATGGAATTATAAAAACACCTGATTTAATATCAGATATTAACAATATCTGATATTTCTAAAATATGGGAATAATTATTTTCATTAACTTCACATAAACCGAAATTATTTTCCAAGAATCTAAAAATGAAGTGGATATTACTTTTATCTAGATATCTATTTTCAGACAAGACTGTACAGTTACATCCTCTTGTTAGAACCCTTTAGAAAACTCCAAATTTTATCTAAGAAAAATATACTGACCTGTAAATCATAGGTAATAAAATATATATATTTTAAAATAAGTTTTTAATTGTTATATACATATATATATATATAAATTCCCTTAAGCAGAAGCATACATGTTGTTACTGAAAGTTCTTCTGGAATAATTATGTTAAGCCTTTATACCACAGATTGTGGTACAGCAAGATTCGGCTATTTTTTCAACTCTGACAAGTGTTACTGCACTTGACTGACCATCTTAGGGAAAAGTTATGTCAAGAGGCGTTTTGTCTACTCGTGCCTTTTATGACTACCTCACTTCCAATAAATTTCTATATAGGGAGCTTAATCTAATCTTGCAGTAGAGAACCTAACCCTTATTTGAATACAAATTGAATAAAACAAAGCTATACTACTTAACATCTGGGCAGCAGTAATATTCTTAGAAAATTTTATCAGACTTATTAGGATGCTACATTCCCTGAAGATATACAACGACCTCTTTATAATAACAAATTTGTATCTTTAAAGTTGTACCTTCCACAAATGATGTAATTTTCCCCAAAGTTCCTCTTTTCCATTGAGTTTACATTCAGACTTCAAGTTTATGGAGTTTAAATAAATCTTATTTAACTCAGAAACATCAATTTTGCCTTAATACAAAAGAGAAATAACAATTTTTAAATTTCAGCTTGACCCCTTCATGTCTTTTGTTAGTCACAATACACACACTTTTCATTGTTAAGGTTAGAAATCCTATAAAATAGTTTGTCATGCAGAATCAATAATCAAGAAGACAGTCCCATGCTACCCAGAATGTAGTGGGTAGCAGATAAGAAGAAAGGAGGGACTTCCCTGGTGGCACAGTGGTTAGGAATCTGATACCTGCAACGCAGAGGACACCTGTTCAATCCCTGGTCTGGGAAGATCCCACATGCCGCGGAGCGACTAAGCCCGTGCGCCACAACTACTGAGCCTGTGCTTTGGAGCCTGCGAGCCACAACTACTGAAGCCTGCGAGCCTAGAGCCCACGCTCCGCAAAAAGAGAAGCCACCACAATGAGAAGCCTGCGCACCGCAACACTAGTGCACCACAACAGAGTAGCCCCCGCTCGCCGCAACTACAGAAAACCCACGCACAGCAGCGAAGACACAACGCAGCCAAAAATAAATAATATTTTTAAAAGAAAAAAAAAAGGAGAGAAAGCCCGCACGCAGCCACAAAGACCCAATGCAGCCAAAAAAATAAATAATTTTAAATAAAAGAAAAAAAAGAAAGGAGGGGCTAATGTTGCTCTCATGTAAAGAGCTAAAGAAATGGTACTATTTACTGAGCAATAACCACATTCTGAAATATTAAATAAAGATGAAATTGGGAAAGTAATAGAATATGGTGATTAAGAGCACATGTTTTGAAGTCAAACAGTCCTACAGAATTTCAACTCTACTACTAACTAGCAATGTGATTTTGGGGAAATTATTTAACCTCTTAAGCCTTATTTTCCACATAAGTAAATGGGAATAATACCACCTACTCACAGGAGTTTCTGGAGATAAAATGAGTTAATTATACAAAGTATTTAACAGAGGGTCTACCACAATATATATTAGTATTACTTATAATAATAAGGATTTAAGTGGCCTTTAAACTAGTTAATACAATTAGTATCATTTGGCACTGAAACATAGCTGCTTCAAATTATTTTACCATGAGATGTAAATGGTAGAGAATCAATCAATACAAGCTCATCCGGGATTGCATGACTTGGAAGATGTTTCTGCAGTTCTTTAAAGATGTAATCCTTTACTAAATCATTTTTGGACACCATGAACAAAATTAATTTTTCCTGATTATACCATGTAACTGCACAAGATTCCACTTGTTGAAGACCTTCAGCAACCTATGAGAGAGATTATCTCAATTTGCCAATAAGGACATTTAAAAACAAACTTCCTAAATACTCTGCATTCAATACAGTCAAATTAAAATCTGGAATTCACTAGAGATTTTTAAAAAATTGTTTCCTACTATCACTATTACCAGCACACTGGGTTCTTAATGTTTTCCAAAAATAATAGCTCCCAGAGCAAAATAAGTCAACTTATTTTCAGTTATCAAAATCCCCTTTGTCACTTATTTAAAAAACAACTCTTCATGCTGAGAATAAAGTGCACAATGAATTATCCATATCTTCTACTGTAATTCATCATTAACACAAAAGTCTTAGGTTTAAATAATACTGACAGAGAACCCTGGAACAGAAAAGTAGTTATGGCTGCCTCTAATACCTACATATATTAATAGATGTTTAATATTTAAACAGTTCTACCTGTTGCACAAGTTCAATGTTAAGACGTTTGCCATGACGTTTGATCTGACTGTCCTTTCGTCCCAAGAAAAATATCTCTCCATCTTTTATAGTCACAAAGTCTCCTGTGGCCCTCATTGTGCCAAGTGGTACTGTCATTTCATCATCAAGAAAACATACTCTATTTCTGCCACCTTCACAAGATATAAACAATGTAATTTTAAAAATTCATGGAAAATATATTAAAAACCAAGAAATCAGAACATCTCCAAAAGCTGTTACTAAGTTTCAAAGTTTGAATATTTATATAAAAAGGGGGACTCACTTTTAAATGTTATCTGATAAAATTATATACAATAAGAACTTTAGTAAAGTAAGCAAAGGGATGAAACACAATCTAGTTCTAAAAATACATGTGATTAAAAACATTCTTAAAATACTAATAGAATTTTGGCTATAAACAGAAATACAAACAACCAATTTACAGTTTCTAAATTACTTTTATATCTTCTCTTAGAGTATTCGACATTGTTATCTGAAATAATTATGGTAACTAATTAAATGTTTCATGACTGTGAGGATGAGATTAAAAATTACCATCACCGAAAAGAATACTAGACTTAAGAATAATTGAGGAAAGAATAAAATTAACACATCAGATATTTTTTCTTGGAAAAAAAAAGAAATTATTCCCAATCAACAAATGTAAAACAACCTAAAAATACTTGGCCATTGCCTTCTTGAACTGTGAAACCATTAGTATCTTTGACTTCAACTACTGTTCCAAGCAGTGGAAATCCCAGTTGTACAGGCAAGTCGCATCTATGAAAACACAACAACCCAAACCAAATTAAAAAATTTTCATTTGAATAGAATATTTACCAGTGTATTTAAATCACATTGTACCAAAGAAAGAAAAAAAAAGTTTTTGTTATAATTCAAAGATTGACAAGAGGAAAAGGTTAGGTGGAAAAGTTATGTTATTCATTGCTGTTTAGTTACGAAAACCTCTAGCAGGATCTGTAGCACCAGTTAAAATAAGAAAGGTTCTGGATTCCCAGCTTAAAATTCTAGATAAAATAGTGTTTATAAAATATTACTCCAGTGCCTATCAAAAATACTATCTGTGTTAAGATACTGGAGAAATAACAGTTTCTACCCTACCCTGAAGTAACTGAAACCCTTACTTCAAAGTAGAGTTAAGAATTTTCTCTGGTATCCTGTAAAAAGTCGCCCAACTTGATACCTCGGTGATACCATAAACATTAAATATTTGTGTTTTATTGCCTATTCCTCTCCAGCTTTTGAGAACAGTTAATGACGGAAATGCTTCGCCACCAAGGGCCAATACTCGAAGAGAAGTATTGGTTGATAAAACAGTTGACTTGATAAGCTGAGGTCCAAATCTTCTAAGCAATGTCGGTGTTGCCTGTAGATACATTAAAAATAAATTATTTCTTTCCCTTCACTTCTTTAAAAAAAAAAACAAAAAAAAACACACTGTAGTGATTAGTCCAAAGCTTAACATTGGGAGCTCACAAGGAAATTAAGGCTGTGTTTACTAAATGGCAAATCATATTTGGAAAACTACTGAAGCAGCATTACCTTTTTAATGTGGACATAAATTTTGCTTCAGTAAAAAACAAGCAAATATTAATTATGTTTCATTATGCAGTTTAGACAAAAAGGTTTAAAGGACAAAAATTTATTAAATGAATTTAATTTCCTTTCCCATTATTCCTATGTAGAAAAAGTATATAAAAGTGTTAAGGAAGTGCCTAAGCAAAACAATGAATAAAGATTTTAAAAAACAACTTTATTAAGATAATATAATTGACATACAATAAACTATACATATTTAAAGTGTACAATACAAATTTTGAGATATATTATTGGTGAAACCATCACCACAATCCAGATAATGAACATATCCTTCAACCCTAAAATCACCTATGTACCATTGTAATTCTTCCCTCCAACTGGACCTCTCCTCCAGACAACCACTGATCTATTTTTTGTCACTGATGATCAGCTGACATTTTCTAGAATTTTATAAAAATGGAATCATACAACATGTATTCTGTTTTGACCTAGCATCTTTTACTCTATGTTCAGTGAAAATACTTTGTGATTCATGTTGTATATATCAATAATTCATTCTTTTTTGTCTTAGTCTGTTCAGGCTGCTATAACAAAATACTGTAGACTGGGTAGGTTATAAACAACAGAAGTTTACTTCTCACAGTTCTTGGAGGATAGAAGTCCAAGACCAGGGTGCCAGCATGGTCCGGTTCTGGTGAGAGCTCTCTTCCAGGTTAGACTTCTTGCTGTGTCCTCACATGGTGGAAGGGGATAGGAAGCTCTGTGGGGTCTTTTTTACAAGGGCACTAAATCCCATTCATGAGGGCTTCACCCTCATGACCTAAGCAGTCCCAAAGGCCCCATATGAATTCTGGGGGGACACAAACACTCAGACCATAGGACTTTTTATTCTATTGTATGGATCAGGACTACCTTTTGAATTTCCATATAAAATTTAGGATCAGCTTGTCAATTTCTCCCCCAAAGAAGTCCATCAGGATTTTGATAGGGGCTGGGTTTAATTTACAGGGAGAACTGCAATCTTGACAATATTGAGACATCCCATCCATAAACATGAAATGTCTCTTCATTTATTTAGCTCTTCAATTTCTATCAACAATGTTCTATAGTTTTCATCGTACAAGCCTTGCTCTTCTTTAAATTTATTCCTATTTTATTATTTTTGATGCTATTGTGAATATAATTATTCTCTTAATTTCATTTTTGGGCTTTTTTTCTATAATATAGAAATATAGTTGATTTTGCATATTGATCTTGTACCCTCCAACCTTGCTGAACTTGTTTATTAGTTCTAGTAGTTCCCCCATGTCGTCTGCAAATAGTTTTACTTCTTCCTGTCCAGTGTGGGTGCTTAATTTCTTTCTTCCTTTTTGCTTTATTGCACTGCCTAGAACAACCAGAATAATGTTGAAGAGAAGTGAAAAAGCAAACATCCTTGCCTCGTTCCCAATCTTAGAGTGAAAGCATTCAGTCTTTTATCCAATTATAATGTTAGCTGTAGTCTTTTTGTAGACATCCTTTATCATGTTGGGGAAGTTCCCTTCTATTCCTAGTTTGTTGACTTTTTTTTATCATTGGCATTGGATTTGCCAAGTAATTTTTCTGCATCTGCTGACATAATTATGTGCTTTTTGTTCATTATTCTTTATCTAGTATATAGCATCAGTGGATTTTTGGACGTTAAAGCAAATGTGCATTCCTGGGACAAATCCCACTTAGTCACATTTGATGAAATAAAATTATTTTTAAGGCAGGACAAAAACAATATTTTAACATAAAATTCTCTCTCTGCCCATTTGGGCCCCACTACCCTCGCTTTACGGTGCAATGTGCATCTGCATTATACATTAACCAGACGACCTTAGAAGACACAGAAATACCTGCTACATCGTAAAAAGCAAATTTCTCCTCACACCAACAAGGTAATTCCTTAGAAGATAACATTCCTTTCTTAATCCTGTGATGGGTCACAATGACCCACTACTCGCCTTATATGTGCAGATCTAGACTATGTAAACTATCAATATGTCACTCTGATGTATAACTCTGTCTCGAAAATGTATATAACTGTGCTTTGACTTCTAACAGGCAGGAGGGTCCTCAGATCTTTCTGAAAGACTGTCCCTCGGGTTATAATCCTCAGTTTGGCTCAAAGAACATTCTTTGTTTCTTTCTTAGATTGACTAATTAATTTTTCATCAACACATTTTACATTTCCTGAGACTTATTTTGTAGCCTAGCATATGACCTATCCTAGGAAATGTATACTCTGCATTTGGTGGATGGAGTGCTCTACATGTGGAATTTGGTTGATAATGTTATTCAAGTCTTCTTTATTACATGCACACTGATTTGTCTAGTTTTTCAATGAATTACTGAAAGTAGGGTACTAAAATTTCAAACCATTGAGTCATCTATTTCTCCTTTCAGTTCTGTCCATTTTTGCTTCATGTATTTGGAACCTCTATTTTCAGGCAGAGATGTTCTTGATATAACAATATACTTCTTTTTTAAAAATTAATTAATTTTGCACCAGGTCTTAGTTGCAGGAGGCAGGCTCCTTAGTTGCTGCTTGCCGGCTCCTTAGTTGCGGCAGGCAGACTCCTTAGTTGTGACATGAGAACTCTCAGTTGCAGCATGCATGTGGGATCTAGTTCCCTGACCGGGGATCGAACCCGGGTCCCCTGCATTGGGAGCACAGAGTCCTAACCACTGCGCCACCAGGGAAGTCCCAACAATGTACTTCTTGATGTACTGACCATTTTATCGTTATGAAATGTTTTGTTGCTGGTTTTTTATTCGCTTGTTTATTTCTTTGTTTGTAACTTGCCTGGGCTAAATGTGAATCGTCTCCCCCGTATGGTCACTGATGTCACTGCTCAGTTGGCTTTTAAAATAGGTATTTGGGAACTCCCTGGTGATCTGGTGGTTAAGACTCAGCACCTTCACTGCCGTGGCCCAGGCTCAATCCCTGGTGGGGGAACTAAGATCCCACAAGCTGCATGGTATGGCCAAAAAATAAATTAAATACTTTTTTTTTGGCCCTTGGCAGTGAGAGCTTGGAATCCTAACCACTGGACCACCAGGGAATTCCCTAAAATACATATTCTTTTTTTTTGGCTGCATCAGGTCTTAGTTGCAGCACACGGGGTCTTTTGTTGCGGCATGCGGGCTTCTCTCTAGTTTTGGCATGAGGGTTCTTCTCTCTCTAGTTGTGGCGCGCAGGCTCCAGAGTGCGTAGGCTCTGTGGTTTGCGGCACGCAGGTTCTCCAGTTGAAGTGCGCGAGCTCACTAGTTGTGGCGCACGGGCTTAGTTGTCCCGCAGCATGTGAGATCTTAGTGCCCTGACCAGGGATTGAACCTGTGTCCCCGGCATTGTAAGGCGGATTCTTTACCACTGGACCACCAGGGAAGTCCCAAAATATATATCTTGTTTTCACTTTTAAGTCTTACTTCCTAAGCGTCGCCTCATGTCTGCATAGCTCAGATGTCAACCATTGACTGGACAGATTGTCTGTATAGATGGATCTGTGTGTGGATAGGGGAGCTCATTCAAAGTTACGTCATTTTCAAGTCTGATCCAGCTTTTATTTTCCATGGGCTCTTTTGTATCTCTTATGTGCATGCACATAGCCTCAAGGTCAGTCAGGAATGTGCTTGCCCTCCTCACCATAGCAACCTCAGGCCCTTCTTGCTGGCTAGAATGCCACAGATTCCCTTTTCTAAAGCAAAATTCAGCAGTTTTTTAAAACATAAACATATTTCTGTAAAAAAAAAAATAAAACAAAAACAAACAAAAAAACATATTTCAGATAGTTATATGCCTTTAGTTGATTTATAAAGTGTTGAAATGGTTATTTTCGTCAATTTTGTCCAGCTTTATAGTTGCTTTTTGGGAAGAATATCTGCCAATCTCCTCACTTGGCTATAGCCAGAGGTTACGTGAATGAAGATTTTAAAATGGCTTCTTTCAGTAAAAGCTAAAAGGACAACCTAAATTTTAATTTGGGGAGATTATTTAAGGTCATGGCTTGTCAAAATATTTAAGCAGTAGGATGACCCTATATCCCAGTATGTACTTATTGTTCCAGATTACTGTCTGGGAATTTAGTGCTTTCATTCACTCTCAGGATTCCAAGTTTTTGGTAATAAATTACAGTGGTCACCCTATTTATCCTGAAATGATCCTAAATCAAGCTCTTAACTGTTCCACCAAGAGTTCTTTGGGTTTTTTTTTTTAACAAATTTATTTATTTATTTGTTTGTTTTTATTTTTGGCTGTGTTGGGTCATCATTGCTGTGCGTGGGCTTTCTCTAGTTGCGGTGAGCAGGGGCTACTCTTCGTTGTGGTGCATGGGCTTCTCATTGTCGTGGTTTCTCTTGTTGCAGAGCATGGGCTCTAGGCGCACAGGCTTCTGTAGTTGTGGCATGTGGGCTCAGTAGTTGTCACTTGCGGGCTCTTGAGCGCAGGCTCATTAGTTGTGGCACACGGGCTTAGTTGCTCTGCAGCATGTGGGATCTTCCTGGGCCAGGGCTCGAACCCGTGTCCCTTGCATTGGCAGGCAGATTCTTAACCACTGCGCCACCAGGGAAGCCCCCAAGACTTTTATCATAAGGAAAATCTCTTGTCAAAATGACGACTGAATGGTCCTGCTCTCCATTTTCAGTAAAGCAAATCTGAAACATTCTGGCCTAATTTCTAGTGTTAAGGATAATTTCAACTTTGAACTCTACAAATGAATGCACAACTATGAATATTCAGCAAGGTAAAGCATAGTAACACTTTTCAGATACTCATAAACTGAAATGATCAATTTATTGGCACAGGACAACTCAACATCCTTTGCTACCAAATCATCTTAGGCATAGGGAAACAGGACTTAGCAAGTAACAGAAAAAAGTGATAGAAAATGTTATAGTTTTCTTCCAGATTGCCTAAGTAAAAATTTATGTAAAAATGAAAAACACTTATGTTGACACTTTGGTAGATGGCAACCTAAGATTTTGCTCTAACTAAAAGGTTTCACTTTTAAAAGGCATCAAGTTTAAATAATATAACTTTGTTACCCAGAGTATGCAAAAAATTCCCAAATATACTTTAGGTTTGTAAGAAACCAAATACTGGCCCTTTCTTTGCAAGAGAAAACTCTTACTCCTGAGATAAAGAGGTTCTTAATTTCCTCAAAAGCTTAGTCCATCTCACTTTGGGGCCTTTCTCTCCCACAGTAACTCAAGATATTCTATTTTTTCCAATTTTCAAAACTTTAGTAGCATGTATTCTCTTTGAGAGCTTTTAAGATGCTTACTTAATATCCAATTAGGTTTCGGCAAGGTTATTTGTAAATAAAATCTGTACAAGGAGCTCTTAAAAATATATATATAGGGCTTCCCTGGTGGCACAGTGGTTGAGAGTCCGCCTGCTGATGCAGGGGACACAGGTTCGTGCCCTGGTCCGGGAAGATCCCACATGCTGCGGAGCGGCTGGGCCTGTGAGCCATGGCCGCAGGGCCTGCGTGTCCGGAGCCTGTGCTCCGCAACGGGAGAGGCCACAACAGTGAGAGGCCCGTGTACTGCAAAAAAAAAATATATATATATATATATATATATATATATATATATATATATCTCCATGATGACTTACATATTATTTGGTAAGAAATTGACTCTGGAGGGAAAAGGTGAACGCTGATAATAAAATAAAGCTAAAATTCACTATAAGACATGTGTCTTATACAAAAGAAAGGTTAGCCTGTCAGCTTTTGTGCTTCTCTTCCTTACTCAAACCAAGTCAAATGTGATCTGCTCATAATATTCCAAGTAAATTTGTATTGTGAGTTATATAAAATCACAATGAAACTATATGCAAAATTTGCTGTATTTTGGGAACAGAGTTAGTAAATGCGTATCCATTTCTCAGAAGGATCTATGATCCCAGAAAAGTTAAAAAAAACACTGCTAAAGTAAATTTATCTGAGATTGTGTTTTAACATCAAGCAAGGGGGTCAGATTTAAAGAGGTATAAGACACTATTAAGGTACTTAGCAAATATTCCCTTAAAAATTATGCTCCTTGAATTTTACAGGAAAATAAAAGTTGTATTTTTTTTTTTTTTTTTTTTTTTTTT